TTCATACTTGCCCTAAAAACTCTGGCCACCTTGCTGTCTCTTGACTCTCAACTCCATCTCCTCAAATCAATGAGTATGCTGGAAACTTCTTGGGATCCCCCTTCCTGCTATTGCCTGGAAACTCTCTCAGGACATTAAGCTGGGGCAAACATAGGGCTTACGTTGTTTATTTCCTGTCTCTAAGGAATTACTGTCCTGTACTGCCTGATATCCATTTCTTTGAAAACCACTATTTCATATATTTTGTCCACTTTTTAGTTGTTGTAAGCAAGAGGATAAACGCAGTCTCTGATACTCCTCTTAGCCAGAAATTGAATTCCTCCATCCTTGACTTATATTCACTCTAGAATATTTACTGAGTACCTATTATATTTTTTGACAATTCTACCAAAAATTTAATATAAAAAATACCAATTTTACACAAATCCTTTGAGAATATAAAGGAAGCTGAAATGTTTCCATATTCATTTTATGAAGCCAGCATTGTCCTAAAATCAAATCCAGCAGAGACATAACAAAGAAAGAAAACCACAAAGATCCCTTATGAACATAATCATGAAAGTTTCTAACAAAATATTAGCAAACTGACTTCAACATTATATAAAAAGAGCAAAATGGAGTTTATCCCAGAAATGCAAGGATGGTTTGTTACCAAGAATCAATCAAAATAATGTACTATATTAGCAAAATAACCAAAGAGAATGTGAACATTTTAATATATGCAGAAAAATCATTCAACAAAATTCAACATCCATTCGTAACAAAAACTCTCAGCAAACTACGAAGAACAGCAAATTTTCTCAACATGCATCTGATATGCAATTGATGAAAGAATTAACAATTCTCTCAAGATTAGGAACAAGGCAAGGATTGTCCATCTTCACCATCGCTATTCAACACTATAGTAGAGGTCCTGACCAGCACAATAAGGTGAGAAAAAGATATTAAAATATAGATGGAAGGATAATATATAGATTGATAGACAGATATAGATAGAAAATAAAGAAATAGATTGGAATTAAATAAAAATGGCCTTTATTCATAGACATTATAATTATAAATGTAGAACATCTTATGTATAAATACCCTATTACAATTGATATCTTAAATTAAGAAATAAATGGAATACCATAGTCATGCATCAGATGACTCAAGATTTTTAAACCTTTAGTTCTCCCTAAATTCAATACATAGCCATCAAAATAGCACCAGGTTGTTTTGTAGAGATTGAAAGACAATTTTAATATTTATATGGAAATGCAAAAGGCCCAGAAGAGCCAAAACAATTTATTTTTAACTCTGTGTTTAACTTTTTTTTTTTTAAACATCTTTATTGGAGTATAATTCCTTTACAACAGTGTGTTAGTTTCTGCTTTATAACAAAGTCTGAGTACCTATTATATGCCAGGTGCCTCTGGGTTAAGTGATGGTGATAGAGTACTAGCCAAAGTACAGTTTCATCTCTCAGGGTCCTTATGTTCTAATGGGAAATAAAAATAGGTAAACAACCTGATTCTTGAATGTTTCCTAGAACTCCATTTTATGCTAAAGTTCACCTAGTTTCAATAATTTAACTACCACTTCTATGTTGATGACTTCCAAATCTTCTGATCCACTTCTTACCTCTTCCTATAAAGTCCAGTCGTGTGTTCCCCCACTGCTCACTGTTAGTCACATGAAACTGAAATCAGGGGTTTACCTAGGTTCTTCTTGTGTTCCCCTACATCCAGTCAGTCAAAAAGTTAAGTAGATTGTATCAGCTAAGTAATTTCCAAGTCCATCTTCTCCTATCCAGTCTATGTAACTCATTTAACAAACTTTAGGTATCTATTACATTCTGGGTATTTCTATGCCTTCAGTTTTGATCCCTTCCAATTTATTCTATATAACACAGGCTGAGCCATCTTTCTAAAAAGAAACCTCATTCCATCATTCCTCTGGTTAAAATCCTTTAATGAGAATTTAATGAATTTAAAATAAAATCCAAAGTCCTTACCATAGCTTACAAAGCAATTAAGGACAGAGTCTCTGCCTCTCAAATTTCAGCTCTGTGACTCACCTTTATTCTTGTCCTATGTTCCAAGAATACTTAAACACTTGCAACTCCCCAGATGTACCGTGTTTTACCTCAAATTCTTTGTACATATAGTTCACTCTGCTTAGAGTAGTCCTATCTGTTTTTTACCCCTGTTCCTTTAGGCTCTGTAAGATTCAGTTCAGACATCCCCTCCTCCAGGAAATCTTTCCACAGTCTGTTTCATATATATACTTTTATTGGTACTCCTCTGGAGATATATATATAAATTCAGAAACCTAGCTCATTCTAACTTATTCAGAAAAGATAATAACTGTAGAGGTACTGGGGTGTTTAAGGATCCAAGCAAAGGAATCAGGTAAGCCTTAAGAACTACAATGAGGGACTCAGATGCCATCAGTATTTTCTCTCCATGTTGTCTCCTCTCTTAGTGTCTTGAATCCTCTCCTTGTTATCTTCTCTCTTCTCCATGCATCTTGTCTATTCTCCTCTTTGTGTGTCTGCTTCATTGTTCTTTTCTCTGCAGATTAACTTTTTACTGTTTCAGTTCATATGATGGAAAGGTAGTCACTATCAGCTCCTGAACTTTGTACCTTATATAATCCAGAGAACTGAAGATAAACTACTCATCTTTTCAATCCAGTTCTAAAATTTCCTGGAAAGGACACTGATTGGCCCCTCTTAGGCCAGCTGCCTACCCTGAGTCAATCAGATAGAGTCAAGAGGCAGGGTCATGCTTTCACCTGGCTGCTCCTGCTATAATCATGTGGACTAAAAGTGTACAGATGCAGAAGTAGCAATTACCCTACCTGGGGTTCAGAGAAGGTAATCCTTAAGGTGGCCAATATTGCTTGCTCTTTAGAGCCGTGTGAATAGTTGTATCAGATACTTTCTTGTCTCCCTTAAAACAGGCCTTTTAGGGCAAGAACTGTGCCTTTCTTTCATCTACACAGATAATAACCAAACAGGGTAACATATATAAACCAATTAATTATTAACTTCTCAAAAGACCAGGGACTGAAACAAATGAAGGAGCTTACATGATATAATGGGAATGAGCTTAAATTAGCATTATCTGTGAAAGCAACTTGAAAAGATAAAAATCTCTATACAAATATAAGGTAGAGTTATCATTACAGTGATCACAAACATGCAAATAAGGAATTTAAGAATCAGCATACTCTCCTTATTAGTGTGAGTTAACAACCACTGAAGGTGGAAAATGATAAGAACGCAATTACAATAAATGCCAGTATAACACAAAAATAAAGTTAAGACTTTCAAATATCAAAAGCCTTCAAGGATATGAGTCTGAAATACATTTTTTTAAAAACATCATATGCTTATGCCAAGATAAAAAATCAATTTATATTTATTATAGTTTATGTGTCAAAGTGTGGTTAAAGCTCAAAATAAAGCTAAATGCGTACAATGAGAGGGAAGACACTTTTGGCTTTAGGATTTCATTTTTTTCTAATTTACCTGGTAAATTAAAGGATTCTTGTCTTATTATATATTACTTTATATATGATTAAAAACCTTATGACTGGGGCTTCCCTGGTGGCACAGTGGTTGAGAGTCCACCTGCCGATGCAGGGGACACAGGTTCGTGCCCCGGTCTGGGAAGATCCCGCATGCCGCGGAGCGGCTGGGCCCGTGAGCCATGGCTGCTGAGCGTGCGCGTCCGGAGCCTGTGCTCTGCAACGGGAGAGGCCACAACAGTGAGAGGCCCGCGTACCGCAAGAAAAAAAAAACAAAAACCTTATGACTAATATATTTTAGAATGGATATAAGAAAAGTAGTCTGTACCAAATTATTATTCAATTCATGATAAGGATCAATGAAATGATACGTGTGAAGATACATTCTAAAGGATAACGTACAATGTGGTGAGAGACTGCTGGACGCAGTAGTCTTATCAGCAAAGGTCCAGCTGCTTCATACCAGATCGGAAGGAGAGCTTGGAGAGTCTTAAAAAAGAGCTGAGAGGGCCATTCTTGACTGGATAAAAATCATTTGAAAATTATGAAGATCAATGGCATCATATTACTGTCTGACTTTATTTTTTTCTTTCTTTTTGGTGTGTCTCTATCGTGGATAAAGTAAGGGAAGACAAAATGGATTCTAAGGATAATTCCTGCTGTTTACCCAAGAATGTTCACAGATGTTTCTAAAAATATATCTTAGCATATTTTTAGTGTTCTCTTTTTGATGAAGTTGGAAAGGTTCTGGCCTTTTTGCTGAAGAAAACAGGCTGGAATGATGTTTCCTACAAAGACTTTGGACACAAAGCCAGTTAGAATTTATAGTAGGAGATGAGCTTTGGACAGAAAGTTTTAGGATGAGTTAGAAACCCGAAGTAACAAGATTAAAAAATGTCTATATTAATATAATTTTTATGTTTCTCTCTTTTTTTTTTTTTTTTTTTTTGCGGTACGCAGACCTCTCACCGTTGTGGCCTCTCCCGCCGCGGAGCACAGGCTCTGGACGCGCAGGCCCAGCAGCCGTGGCCCACGGGCCCAGCTGCTCCGCGGCATGCGGGATCCTCCCGGACTGGGGCACGAACCTGCGTTCCCCGCATCGGCAGGCGGACCCCCAACCACTGCGCCACTAGGGAAGCCCTACGTTTCTCTTTTTGATCTAAAAAGTATAATCAGCTGGAAGCAATGGTGATTCTCTCCCAGTTAGCACACCAAAAGGAAGCTTGTGTATCTGAATCCAAAGGTCACAGTGAACTGAAGTCTGCACCCCCTAACTGAAGGTTGCAAGTGTGTGCCAGGCAAACCCACATCACTGGAGTGCTAGGAAGGATGAGAGTTGTAAGTTAGATATTTCGTTAATGCCAAAAATCAGCTGCATTATGCTTGAGATCCATTTACACATTAGCCCAATTTGCTGTTATTTATACATAACTAAAATATTAGTTAAAATTGATCAACACTGAATTTTCCCCCTTTCAACTCACCTGCAAGATTCTTTGCAAGATTGATGGAAGGGCAATAAATGCTGCCATGTTGTTTAGAACTTGCATGGTCAAAGATTTCAGAGCTGTTATAACAAAATGTCAATATTAAGGTTAGTTTAAAATAAGAGGTTTTTGTCTTTCCTGTAAGTCATAGGACTACAACTTCCTAGAAACTTGGCTAACCAAGGCCAGTTTGATATTTTAAAGTTAACTGCTGGTAAGTTGCAAAGCTACTATTATCCAAGACAAATGATATATAACTGGTGCCACAGAAAGCAGTGAACATGAAAAAATGAGATCAGCAGTACAGTATGATTTCAGTAAGGAAAATAATAAAAATACGATGCTGGGAGAGGTATCAAAATGACAATCATCAGCAGATAGAAATTGGGGGACAGTATAGGTGGACACTGTGACCTTACCTTCAGAGTGCAGATGAGGCGCAGCTGAACTAGACAGCTTCTGAGGTGCCATCATTGCCTCCAGTAATGGAAACCAGAGTGCCTATAATGGCAGAGGAAACCAAAGGAAAACAAAAGTACTCTGTTGTTTTTAAGAACAACTAACATCAGCTTAGTGTTTCACAGGTTGAAATGTACTTCTCACATACATTTGTTGGTAAAAATTAGAAAAAGAAAAGATGGAACACTTGACTGGGAAGAGGAAAGACAGTAAAAAAGCAAAGACCACAGCCAGAACAGATATCTTTATCATGCACCTTGGGAAAATAAGGAAGCTGAAGTTAAGTAAGTCTAGACCTTGGAACTGCAAATCTTCTGTGTCTCAGAAAAGGGTAGGTTCAAAGGAGCCAGAGCAGAGCCTCAGGCTACGTTCTTAAATGTTTCACTGACACAGTCTAAACGGCCCTATGTACTGCAGAAGGGAATAAAGAACTCTCCCACAACTACCCTCCCCCCATTTCTCATCAGCTATGTCAAGCAAGATAAATAAATACAGTTATCCAAAGTTTTCTCCTATATCAAGCATTATTTTGTCATTTCCTCAGTCATCACTGACTAAGAAGTGGAAGTTAACATTATTTCAATTAACATTTCCAATCACATCATGACATAAATGAACAGATCTAACATTTATTTATTCCTATTACGTAGGGCACTGTATTAAACGCTTTACATACATTTTGTCGTTTCAATCTCATGATAACCTTATACAGTAAGCATTATCTTTACTGGAGATAAGATGCTGAAGCTTAGAGAAGTTGAGCAATTTGCCAATGATTATACACTGCCATATGTGCATCATATGTGTTCTTCCTAAGCCTTAGGAAAAATCTTCATCATCAAAAATCAAACTAATACATTTAAAAATTTCAAGCATATTTTCCTGTTGGGTAATGATTTACAAAGGCCTTATTTCACTCAGTATCTTGGGAGAAACCTATTCCTGCAAACATCCAAGAGGTATGAAAAAAAAGTCAGTATTGACAAAGCAGGACAAGCATGGTTAAGGGGACAGGCTAATGGTCCGGCGACTTTCCCACGGGGTGACCTTCCACTGAAGAGCTCTACAAGGAAGACCTTATCTGCCCCCATTTGAGGTTTTCTAAGGCCAGGATTTTATGTACTTTTTTTTTTAACAGTATTTCTTCAAATTCTTAAGATACTGGTTTTAACTATGTTGTATACTGGCAATTCTTTATTTTATTGAAATTTTAATTTAATTTATCTAGTATTCATGAATTTTTAATCTTGTATTTTATTCTTGGATGGCTTTACTTAGCTTGTGTTTTCGTTGCCTATTTCAATTTGTTTTTACAACCACATCATTTATTTCAATGTATTTTTATAGTCTTTTAATTTAACTGTATATGGTATACCTAATTTTTACCTTTTGGTTTTTATATTTATTATATTTAGAAATTTGATTTAAAATTTTTCTTATTTAGTCCAGAAATTTTAGAAGAATTACCTTTTTAAAGGTTACTTTATTCTTGGTTTATAAATAGCAGACCGGGGGAAGCATGGTTGCAGAGATAATAGCCATGGGAAGTGTTCATACCCTAGAGAAATTGTTCTTCTTCAATTAAATCTCCCCATTAACCTGAAATATATGGTAGACACCTTTTAAATATTTTGTCTCTCTTGCTCTTTAATGTTGGTTCTTAAAATGTTAACTTGGATAAACTCTAAAAACCCACAGGCTAAAATAACAATCCATGATAATGACAATCCTAACCCCTGAGAGCAACACAACTGAACCTGAATTACTTTCTCATGTTACATAATCAACAGCTTTCTTTTTCAGGGAATTATGTGCATAAGAAAGCCATATTCTTTATTTATGCAATCACTGGACACTGGGGTAGACAGACATACAAAGTAGGACAGGTATAGATTCTACCTAGGGAAGGACTGACAACCCGATTTCCTGCAGTCTAACTTTAAGGAAATACTCCATGACATTAAATCTTCTGAAGAAACTTTTGGAAAGAGATATTACAGACAATTCATTATCAAGCTTTTGGATACTTCAAATTTTCTAGTTAGATTAGGGTCGGTGGCAACAGCTCTTGTTCTCACTCTCTCCAAACCAAAAAAAAAGCAAAGAGGAACAGGGGAAACAACCATGAAAATCCCCCCAAATTAATGTTTGCTATTACATAAAATCAGTTCAGCATTTTCACAAAAATAGTATTTACATAAAAACTAACATGCAATGTTTTTATTGTTGCTATGAACGTTGTTCAGAAAAGAAGCAAAAACCAGTTGTTGGAGGGTGGGGGGGAGTAGAGAGTGGTGTGAGAGGCATGTGTGTGTGTCTAAGAGAGGAAGAGACAGATTCCAACTCAGATATATTTTTAGACAAAAAAATACAGAATAAATTACCCTTTCACCACATCAAAGGAAGCCTTAGTCCTGTCTCTGATTAAGAGATAAGAGTTCAAATATAGTCAGAATAATCCCTAGAGTTCTGGAGGCATGAATTTTATATCTAATTCTACCATTAATATATGTGAATCTGGACACATTTCAGCTTATGTGAGCCTAAATGGCTCTATTTATGAAACAATGACAATTTATAATTGTCATTTTTCCTTAAATTTTCCACGAGAAGAAGGAAGAATATCAAATAGATGTTAGGGAGGAGACAGAAGGGTTGAAAAATATTTATGTATATTTATGTATAAACATAGCTCTAATAGTTTTACCCTCTTGTGTTTTTCTATCAAAATATAACCATGTCCAAATGCAGACAGTTAGCCAAAAGATAAATGAAAACAAAAACTTAGGAATGGAAAAATCAGGGCAAAAGGAATGTTGTGAAGCCCATAATCCATTTAAATAAAGATTGAACAACTATGGGAATTGTGGATACAGAAAAGAATGTATTGTTAACCTTAATGAGGTAAAATAACATAACTAACTAAAATTCAGAGGGGTGGAGAAGGGAGGCTGGAGCAAGTGTGTATGAGTTCATGTAAACTTCCTTACTGGTCGGACATCATAGATATTATAAAAACCAAAATGTAATTATAAACGATACTTCTAATCTATTAACAGTTATTTCGATTTTTTCAACTTCAGGGAGATTTATTAAGAGATAGTGTATTGAAGAACTATTTATTTGAATTTCAGAGTTTCCTCAGTTTTACATAAGCTTCCTAAATGAGATTAAATACTATATTTTTAAAGCAAGCATTATTTGATTCAATTTTTCTAAAATTATGTTAACCTAGGTAGATAAAAAATATCTAGAGTGATATTCACCAAATGATAATGACGGTTATTTCTGGGTGATAAGATGGAAACAGGGTAATTCTTTTAAACAACCCTCTGTGTAACTTTCTGTATTGCAGGGTTTAAAAAAATAATGGGTATGTATCATTTCACTCAAAAAAGTTTTTAAATAAAAAAACCATATCTATTATATAAATGTGTTTGTTAAATACAATTTATATTCTAAAGGGTATTCAAAATTTATGACCTTAAAAAAACCCTTGACAAAAACATAAAGGAGAAATTTTACCCATCTCATAAGAACAGAAACATACCAAGTTTATCATTTTCATTGGAACATGTATGGCAAACTATATAAGAAAAATGTACCCTGCTTCCCATTTCAGAAGCCCAGGCAGTGGAAGGAGGCCAGGTGGTGTTAAGTCAGAGGCCAGAGCCTGGAGGGGCAGACGCAGTTATGCCATACATATCACACTGCTAACTTTACTTCTTAAAACTACTGCACAATTTAGCTGTCAAGTTGCATCTCGCCCCCTTGGTTTCTGCTTCATTGCTGTAACTCCCACCCGCCCCACGTGCTCTACTATATCTCCTTCAGCTCTGCGTTCTCCCTTTTTGCAGTCTGGAATCTGTTACAGACGCGGTTCCAACCTTGGCTGCACAGTGGAATCATGTGGGAAGCCTTAAAACATACTGATGACTGCGGCCCAGCCCCAAAGACTATAATTTAATTGATCTCAGGTACAGTCTGGGATTTTTCAAAGCTCCCCATGTGACTCTTATGTGCGGCCAAGGATGAGAACTACTACACCGTACCTTCTTGACCTTTTTCAGCTTTCTCTGTATCCCTTGAGGCTTTTCCTCTAGTGCTTCACGCTCCCCTTATCCACGGGGAACGGTACAGATGATAAATGGACGACACAACCACAGTACCACTACACGGAATACACAAAAACTCAGTCCAAAGAGAACAAGGACATCTAGTATTCACACACCTAAATTTTGCAGCACAGCCAAATCTAAGAATATAAAGCCTTTTGCGAGAACAAAGCATACAGGCACTCCTCATAATAACTTTAGGAGTCTTATACTCCTGGGAGCACTGAACTCAGGTAGCTGAGAGGGCAGTGGAAATAGAACTAATTCCTAGTTTCAGACCAGAACAGATTTTTAAAAGCCTCTGTAGTCACTCTCCTACCTCTCTCTGCTGCTGGTTCAAATTATGTGAATTTCTCTGGCAAAGGGCAATTGTCTCCACCATGGTCTCTTCAACATTCTTCAGTGAGGGATCCTCTTTGGTATCTAGATTCAGAAAAACTGTTAACATCACTCAAGGGTATATTACTGATAATCTCAAAGCTTCTGTAAAAAATTAAACAATTTTTTCTCTGCATACTTTGTCTTCTATGATATAATCATGTATAAGACCTGATACCGAACTTCAGTAGATAAAAAGTAGGTAGTTCTTTGCAACAGTTTTCCATATAAATGTCTGACATTCCTAGGACAGAGAAAGCACATCATACTTAGCATTTTAATATGCTTTAGCTATGGAAAATCCCCAACCATTTATCTGTGGATTACTTAATAGAAAGATTATCTTTTATCTTTCTTGCTCTACCATTTCTTCCTCTATTTCTTAAATGTATGTATTTCTCCAAGATACTATCTCAGGCCCTTTTCTTTTCATTTTTTCCAATAATTTCAGCCACTCTTCTGGTTTTAATTCCTATGTCCTTGCTAATAATTTTCAAATATACACCTCCAGCCCTTATTCCTTTCATAATCTGCAGGTTGAATTTTCACCAGGCTCTAGGACATCTATCTCTACATGGACATCCTGCAGTCACTTTGAACTTTATATGTGCAAAACCCAACCCATTTTTCTTACTTCAAATCTGCTCCTCCCCCTACATTTCCAAACTAAGTTAATAGAACCATGACCTTTAAGTCAACCAGTTTATAAATCTTCACCATCTTTGATGCTTTCACCTGTACATTCAAATAAATTGTTAATTTTGTTAATTCTACTTCCACACTCTCATATACCCGCTACTTTACCAGAGTGGAGCCCTTCATCACCTCGTTTGCACTACTGCAGCAGCCTCTAAATTAACTTTTGACTTCCAAATCTTGCCTTCCTCATTCCCTTTTATACTGTCACTACAGTTCTCTTACGCACAAGTCCAAACATATGAGTCTCATGCACAAAAACTATCAAAGACTTCTAATTTTTACAAAGAGAATGTCAATAAACCTCTGATCCTAAGTAAACACAGTAAACATCCTGGTGCATCTTCCCACCCTCGGTGCTCTTATATCACCAGATTATTTCCTCCTCCCCAAGGTTACTAGCCAGGCACTTTCATGCTCATGTCCTCCTCAGCCCAGAAGACACTTTCCTTGCTTTTGTCTATCAAATTCCTATTCATCATTCCAATCGTGATTACTTCAAAGGTCACATCTTCCAGAAAAGAATCTCAGTTACAGGTAGTTCCCCAATTTTCCACAACCCTTTGCCACTCTCACTGTACCTTTTTTATAGTATTTGATTCTACATGCATTAGAGGTTTTTATTTACATATCTGTCTCCTTCAAGAGACTGTAGCTCTTTGGGTGAGGACTGTTTTAGCCATCTGTGTATCACCCACAGAAACTAGCCCAGTGCTGTGCAATTACCAAATCCTTCAAAATTCTTAAGCACACTATCAAAATTGAATCTGACAGTAAATGTCAGTTATGAGACTATTACTGAGAAATTTACCTTCATTGGAATTCAAGGAATTGGCTTCCCTACACATATCACCTGCAAATTACTGTAGTGATTTGGGGGAAACATTCTTCTTACTTTTCCCACAATCCTTTATGTAATGTCTATAAAAATTATTCTCATAACAGTAAATTGAAAGAGAAAAATGCCATAAATGCAACAAATCTAATAGTCAAATTGACTGAACGTATACTAAAGCACAAAAACAATAATTAAATGTTTAGTTGGACTAAATATAGAAAAGTCAACCAACTGTTATGGAAGTTCCAAAAACAAATAATATATGGAGAATTAGGGTAAAGGTGTTTAGGGGAATGTGTGGGCTAAGGGGTCCAAGAAATGTGTTAATGGGTTAAAAAGGTAAAACAATCTAAAAATCACCTATTAAGTGTTTCTCTGAACTTTGGGAGGGATATTTTGAAAATGTCAAGTAATAGGAAAACAAATAATCCAATTCAAAAGTGGACAAAGCGGGGCTTCCCTGGTGGTGCAGTGGTTGAGAGTCCGCCTGCCGATGCAGGGGACACGGGTTCATGTCCCGGTCTGGGAAGATCCCACATGCCGTGGAGCGGCTGGGCCCGTGGGCCATGGCCGCTAAGCCTGCGCATCCGGAGCCTGTTCTCCACAATGGAAGAGGCCACAACAGTGAGAGGCCCGCGTACCGCAAAAAAAAAAAAAAAAAAGAAAAGAAAAAAAAGAAAAAGTGGACAAAGGATATGAATAGACATTTCTCCAAAGAAGATACAGAAATGGCCAATAAGTCTAAGAAAAGATGCTCAACATCACCAATCATTAGGGAAATGCAAATCAAAACCACAATGAGATGCTACCTCACACTCATTAGGAATGGCTACTACCAAGAAAACAGAAAATAAAAGTGTTAGTGAAGATATGGAGAATTTGGAACCCTTGTGCATTGCTGGTGAGAATGTAAAATGATATTGCCATTACGGAAAACGGTACGGTGGTTCCTCAAAAAATTAAAAATAGAATTACCATTTAACTCAGTAATCCCACTTCTGGGTATACACCGAGAAGAGCTGAAAGCAGGGACTCAAAAAGATATTTCTACACCCACGTTCATAGCAGCATTATTCACAATAGTCAAAAGGTGGAAGCAATCAAGTGCCCATTGATAAATGAATGGAAAAACAAAATGTAGTATATACATAAAACAGAATATTATTCAGTCTTAGAAATGAATGAAATTCTGCATGTGCTACAACATGGATAAATCCTGAAGACTTTATGCTAAGTGTAATAAGCTAGACACAAAAGGACAATTACTGTTTGATTCCACTTATGAGATACACAGAGTAATCAAATTCAAATTCATCAAGTCAGAAAGTAGAATGGTGGTTACCAGGGGCTGTGTGGGGAGGAGGGAATTAGGAGTAATTGTCTAATGGGTACAGAGTTTCAGTTTGGGATGCTGAAAAGGTTCTGGAGATGGATGGTGGTGATTATTGCACAATGATGTGAATGTACTTATTGCCAATGAACTGTAAACTTAAAAATGGTGAATTTTATGTTATGTTTATTTTACCACACTTTTACAAAATAAATAACTTTATTTTAGTTTCAAGGAATATAATAGGAATTACATATCTATCTGTGACAAAGCCATTCAAGATTTTAAACTGTTTCAAGTTTTACTGCTTTCTGCTAAAATTATATAAATTCAATACAGAAACACTGATTATTACTTACTGATTAGAAGCTCTGCTTTGCTGTTGTTCAGCACATTATAGTAATTTTTAAGATGTTAGTTATGTACCTCATTTATAATAACCAAAACATAAGTACAGAAATATAACTAAAAAATGAATCAAGACCCGTGAAGACTACCTAATTTTCTGTCCAATGACCTCTACTGACAATTAGCACTGCAAAACTACAGTGGTTTATATTACTTCCTATTATGAGCCCTTGAAAACAAGCCAAAATTGGGATCAATGTCAGATAAACAGTAACATGCAGATCAATGTGATTATTACTTAATAAATACAGTTTATCATTTAATATCTTTTAAAACATGGGGCCCATGGAAAAAGAAATTGTGAATTACACTCGAGAACTTACTTTCATCTTGATGTGTTATCTCTTGAAGTTTGCTTTGTAGTCTCTAGGAGGTAAAAAGAACACTTTATATTTCTAATCCACCAATACCTGAATTACCATATTTTAAAGGTAAACTCCAAGAAACAACAAGGTTATTAAGAATGATCTCTGCCATTCAGAAGAGAATTGTTGTGTATATAGAAAGCACAGGGCTTCCCTGGTGGCGCAGTGGTTAAGAATCCGCCTGCCAATGCAGGGGACACAGGTCCAAGCCCTGGTCCGGGAGGACCCCACATGCTGTGCAGCAACTAAGCCCATGCGCCACAACTACTGAGCCTGTGCTCTAGAGCCCGCAAGCCACAACTACTAAGCCTTGGGATTAGTATCGTGTGGCATACTGGTGTATCATGACATGCATGATAAAAATATTTAGAGATAAAATGTACAAAAAAAGTGTACTGTTGTCTGCAGCTTACTTTGAAACATAAGAATTAAGATGGATTGACAAAAACTTACACAATGCTGTATGTCAATTTTATCTCACGAAGAAAAGATGGATTGATAAATGGTTATAGGGCTAGACAGAAACATGACAAAGCAAATACAGTAAAATGTTACCTTTAGCATTATTAAGAAGGCACCATGAATATCTCCTTTCTTTTCTAATAGATAAGCAGTGACTTCATGAAGTTGATACTTCTGGGTAATCTAGGAAAGAAGAAAAGATAAAGCTTTTTTGCTCAAAAATCTTGCTTGTGGAGTCAGAAGGTCCTACTAAGGATGAAAAAAAAACCTATGATAGTAAATAGTGAATTCATACCCTAGTAGTATGCTACTTTACAGTATAACATGCAAATATTTGACTCTCTAGTCTTAGAGTGACCCATTTGGGACTCTGACTGAACCAAGGTCACTCATTTTTTTTCACTTATTTATTTAAAAAGTTGTTATGCACCTGAATCAGGTATATCCATTGCACAAAAGGTAACATGTACACATAAACAGTAATAATATACACCAGAAATTGGTAAGTGTAATTATTCACAAAATATTTAGAACAAAATGACAATGAAAACTCTATACATTAGCTTGTGGGATCTTAATGAAAATTAATAAACTAAGAATTTCTAATAAGTAAAAAAGAAATGCCAGTTAAGCTAAGGTAAAAGAAAGAAAATAAGTACAGAAAAGAATGTCATGGAAAGAAACAACAGAGAAACAATAGCGAGGTTTAAAAGAAAATCCTAAATTAGTCTTTTTTTTTTTAATATCTTTATTGGAGTATAATTGCTTTACAATGGTGTGTTAGTTTCTGCTTTACAACGAAGTGAATCAGTTATACATATACATATGTTCCCATATCTCTTCCCTCTTGCGTCTCCCTCCCTCCCACCCTCCCTATCCCACCCCTCTAGGTGGTCACAAACCACCTAGCTAAATTAGTCTTTGAAAAGACTAATAACATAGAATAAAACTTTCTTAGGAGTAAGAAAAAAAGAGAGGCACAAATAACATATTATAGGTTAACAGATCAAAGGAGGAAAACATGTGATCATTTCAACAAATGCAGAAAAAGTATTTAGTAAAATGCAGCACCCATTTTTGACAAAAATAAAAACAATACAAAACACTCTAACCCAAACTGGTAATGGCACTTGTCTAGGTTAATAAAAATTATCTATCAAAATCTGACAATAAACACCGTATTTAACATAAAATGTTAGACACATCCCCTTTTAAATAAGGAACAAGGAGAGAATGCATACTATCGCTGCCTCTGTTCAATAATATCCCAGAGCTCCTAGATATCTGATGAGGGAATGAGAAAAGTATAAAATTGGAAAGAAAGAAAAAAAACTACCATTATTCTCAGAAAAAATTACTGTCATAAAAAAATCTAGAAAATATTTGAACGAAAAAAGAATTCAGCCTGGTTGCTAGATATAAGACACTGAACAAAAATTAATAACATATACCAGCAGTAACCAATTAAAAAAAAGTCATTTCAAAAAATTTCCTTTTAGAAATTTCATTTCTAATGAGCCTGAGTAAACGTGGAGGGAGTGGAGCCCACCTCACACCATGGCCCTGCATCTAGCCAGAGCAGAGAGAGCCACTGCAGATACTAGCATGCATGCCTGTACTTGGGAGGGAGCAGAGGCTGCTTGGACTATAACCCTTCCTCCAGCCACGTCAGAGACTGTCACTGCCTGCACACAAATATGTGCAAGCACTAGGGAAGGAGTGGAATCAACTCAGGCCCTTGTCCTGCCTCCAGCTAGGGTGGAGACTGCCATTGCTGGTACAACTGCACAAAGGTAGAAGTGGAAACAGCTTATTAGCGTGGTTCCTACTGCTCTGGCCCTGACCCTGCCTCTACCCAATGTGTGCATACCAGGGAAGAAGTGGAACAAGTTTAGAAGTGCAGCCCCAAACCCTTAGGTCCCAGCCATATCCCAAACCATGGCGAACACCACCATCACACTGGGAAGAAGCCCAACTCGCTCAAAGATCCTGCTCCAGACCCTTAGGCCTCGGCACCACCCCTAATAGGGCAGTGACTCTAGCCCTACATGCCAGCAATACAGTGCCTTGTAGCACATAATAGGGAAAGATGCAGCCTATGCTCACTTTAAAATTAGCTCTTCCACCAATGCCACTGGGAACAAGCAGACTTCATAGAGATGCTCCCACATATGGACATGCCTTCAAGACTGGGATATGGAACTGTTTCACATAATCTCACACAGAAGAACAGAGAATGTCAAGCAAGATATAAAAAGAGAGGAATATGTTTCAGATGAAAGAAAAAGGTAAATTCATTAAGGGGGAGGGAAACAAATTTAAAAAGTGATAAATAATTTACCTGGAAAGAGTTCAAAGCATTAGTAATAAAATGCTAACTGAACATGGGAAAATAATGGATAAACACAATGATAACTGCAAAAAAGAAATAGAAAATGTATAAAAGAATGATCAAATCTTAAGAATACAATAACTGAAATTTAAAATACACAAGAAGGAGTTAACAACAGAATGAAAAATAAGTTAAAACTGACACGAGTGAAATACAAAGAACCATAAGAGACTATTACAAACAACTATATGCCAATAAAATGTATAACCTAGAAGAAATGGACAAATTCTTAGAAAGATACAACCATCCAAGACTGAACCAGGAAGAAACAGATAATATGAACAGACAAATCACAAGTACTGAAATTGAAACAGTGATTTAAAAACTTCCAACAAACTGAAGTCCAGGTCCCAGTGGCTCCACAGGTGAATTCCATCAAACATTTAGAGAAGAATTAACACTTATCCTTCTGAAACTCTTCCAAAATACTGCAGAGGATGGAACATTCCCAAGCTCATTCCATGAGGCCCCCATCACCCTGATACCAAAACCAGACAAAGGTACCACAAAAAAAGAAAATTACAGGCCAATACCACTGAGGAATAAAGACGTAAAAATACTCAAGAAAATACTAGCAAACTGAATCCAACAATACATTAAAAGGATCATACACTATGATCAAGTGGGATTTATCCCAGGGATGCAAGGATTCTTCAGTATCCACAAATTAATCAATGTGATACACCATATTAACAAACTGAAGAATAAAAACCATATGATCGGGACTTCCCTGGTGGTGCAGTGGTTAAGAATCTGCCTGCCAATGCAGAGGACACCGGTTCGAGCCCCGGTCCAGGAAGATCCCACATGCCGTGGAGCAGCTAAGCCCATGTGCCACAACTACTGAGCCTGAGCCCACGAACCACAACTACTGAGCCCACGTGCCACAACTACTGAAGCCCACGCACCTAGCATGCTCCACAATAAGAGAAGCCACCACAATGAGAAGCTCGCGCACCGCAACCAAGAGTAGCCCCCACTCACCACAACTAGAGAAAGCCCACGGCACAGCAACGAAGACCCAACATAGCCAAAAATAAATAAATAACCATATGTCATCTCAATAGGTGCAGAAAAAACTTTCGACAAAATTCAACGCCCATTTATGATTAAAAAAAACTCTCTAGAAAGTGGGCATAGAGGGAACTTACCTCAACATAATAAAGGACATACATGAAAACCACACAGCTAACATCATTCTTAATGGTGAAAAGCTGAAAGCGTTCCCTCTAAGATTAGGAACAAGGCAAGCATAACCACTGTCAACACTTCTATTCAACAAGTTTTGGAAGTCCTAGCCACAGCAATCAGAGAAGAAAAAAGAAATAAAAAGAATCCAAATCGGAAAAGAAGAAATAAGACCATCACTGTTTGCAGATGAAATGATACTATCCATAGAAAATCCTAAAGATGCTACCAGAAAACTATTAGAATGCATCAATGAATTTGGTTAAGTTGCAGGATACAAAATTAATACATGGAAATCTTTTGCATTCTTATACATAACAATGAAAGATCAGAAAGAGAAATAAAGGAAAGAATCTCATTTATCATCACATCAAAAAGAATAAAATAACTAGGAATAAACCTACCTAAGGAGTCAGAAGACCTATACTCTGAAAACTATAAGATGCTGATGAAAGAAATCGAAGATGACACAAACAGTTGGAAAGATATATCATGTTCTTGGATTGAAAGAAAATATTGTCAAAATGACTATACGACCTAAGGCAATCTACATATTTAATGCAATTCCTTTCAAATTACCAATGGCATTTTTCACAGAACTAGAACAAAAAATTATAAAATTTATATGGAAACACAAAAGACCCCAAAGAGCCAAAGCAATACTGAGAAAGAAAAACGAAGCTGGAGGAATCAGACTCCCTGACTTCAGACTACAGTACAAAACAACAGAAATCAAAACAGTATGGTAGATCAATGGAACAGGATAGAAAGCCCAGAAATAAACCCATGCACATATGGTCAATTAATCTACAACAAAGGAGGCTAGACTATACAATGGACAAAAGACAGTCTCTTCAGGAAGTGATGCTGAGAAAACCGGACAGCTACATGTAAAGGAATGAAATTAGAACATTCTCTAACACCATACACAAAAATAAACTCAAAGTGGATCAAAGGCCTAAATGTAAGACCAGACACTGTAAAACTCTTAGGGGAAAACATAGGCAGAACACTCTTTGACATAAATCTTAGCAATAATTTTTTGGCTCCGTCTCCTAGAGCAATGGAAATGAAAACAAAAATAAACAAACGGGACCTAATTAAACTTAAAAGCTTCTGCATAGCAAAGGAAACCATAAACAAAACAAAAAGACAACCCACAGAATGAGAGAAAATATTTGCAAACAAAGTGACTGACAAAGGATTAATCTCCAAAACCTACAAACAGCTCATGCGGCTCTATGTCAAAAAAACAAACAACCCAATCAAAAAATGGGTAGAAGATCGAAACAGAGATTTCTCCAAAGAAGACACACAGATGTCCAAAAAAGCTCATGAAAAGATGCTCAACATCACTAATTATCAGAGAAATGCAACTCAAAACTACAATGTGGTATCACCTCACATAGCTTAGAATGGCCATCATCAAAAAGTCTACAAACAATAAATGCTGGAGAGGGTGTGGAGAAAAGGGAACCCTCCTACACTGTTGGTGAGAATGTAAATTGGTACAACTGCTATGGAGAACAATATGGAAGTTCCTTAAAGAACCAAAAATAGAACTACCATATACTCCAGCAATCCCACTTCTGGCCATATATCCTGAGAAAACCATAATCTAAAACGATACATGCACCCCAATGTTCGTTGCAGAGCTATTTACAATAGCCAAGACGTGGAAGCAATCTAAATGTCCATCAATAGAGGAATGGATAAAGAAGATGTGATACATATATACAATGGAATATTACTCAGCCATAAAAAGAATGAAATACCGCCATTTGTAGAAACATGGGTCGACCTAGAGATTATCATACTAAGTGAAGTAAGTCAGACAGAGAAAGACAAATATAATATGATGTCACTCATATGTGGAGTCTAATTTAAAAATGATACAAATGATCTTATTTACAAAACAGAAACAGACTCACAGACTTCGAAAGCAAACTTATGGTTACCAAAGGGGAAACGTGGGGGGGTGTGGGGGGATAAATCAGGAGCTTGGGATTAACACATACACACTACCATACATAAAACAGATAACCAACAAGGGCCTACTGTATGACACAGGGAACTCTACTCAATATTCTGTGATATTAATAACCTATATGAGAAAAGAATCTAAAAAAGAATGAATACATGTATATGTATAACTGAACTACTTTGCTGTACATATGAAACTAACACAAAATTGAAATCAACTATATTCCAATAAAATTTTTTAAAAAATTTCCTTTTACAATGTTAACAAAAAGTATCTAAGAACAAATTGAGGAAAATGTGCAAGAGCCTTATGTAAAATATTATATTTTATAACTTTAGTTATAAAACCTCACCAAAGTGGGTAAAAGGCATTTCAAAAAGACAACCATGTTCCTGAATGTGAAGACCATAAGATGTCAATCCTCCCTGAATTAATCTATAAATTCAATGTTGTTTTCATCAAAATCCCAGAAGAATATGTTATTTTTATAGGAATGTGACAATGTGATTCCTAATTTGATGTGAAATAGTAAGAGGCCAAGAGTAGCCAAAGAATTTTAAAGAAAAAGAATGAGGAGGGAAGACTCTTCTTCCAAATAATAAAGCTTATTTTAAAGCTGTGTTAATTAAAATATGTGCCATGGGTATAGGGAAAGACAAATGACCAAAAGAATAGAACAGAATTCACAAAAAGATCTATGTATATTTGGGAGTTTGGTGTACAGCAGTATGGCATTACAAATAAGTGAAGAAAGGACAAGAAAATGCCACATGGACCATTAGCCATCCACATGGAAAAAATATATAAATCCCTTTCTTGATCTGTTTACAAGAATAAATTCCAGATGGATTAAAAGCCTAAATGAAAAAAGCCAAACTATAAAACTCATATAAGAGGATATCCTTAATGCCATTAAATTAGGAAAGGAAATAAAAGTCACACACACAAAATTTTAACGTTAAAGGAAAAGACTGATAAATTAAAATAGAAGCCACTAAAAACCAAGTTAAAAGACATGCCATAATAGACTGGAAGAAGGCATCTCCAACATATAAAATCAGCAAAGGACTAGAGATCCAGAAATTAGAAAGAACTTCTAGAAATCAGTAACAGAAGGGCAAAACCTCAATAGGAAACTGGGCAAATGATATGAATGGATAATTCAGAGAAAAGAAAACCCAAAGTGTCATTAAAAATATGGAAAGATATGCAATGTTATGAGTAAGCAATGATAATCATCACACTGGCAAAAAATAAGAAGTCTAAAAATACTAGAAATCAGCAAGGATGTGGAAAAACAGCAAATTTCAAATACTGATGATGAGACTGGAAACAAATAAGAAATCAACTTGACAATATGAACAGAATTAAGCTACTGTATTGTCTAAAGAATTCCACTTCCAGGCATACTACTTAGAGAAATCTCAGATGGCCACAAAGAAGGTATGTACAAAGGTGCCCAAAGTAGCATTGTTTATAATGGCAAAAGATTGGAAACACTCTGAATGTCTGTGAATAGGAAAATATATAAACTGCGGCACAGTCATTCAATAGACTATTATATGATCATTAAAATGAATGAACTAGAGCTATATGTATTAAAAACTGAAAGATAAAAAATTAATAAAAAAGCAATTTGCAATAGGATATTACTGTATGATACCATTAATACAAATTTTAAAAACATACAGAACTGTACCTTGTGTTATATAGGTAAATTCATATACAGGAAAAATTTTTTAAATGGATGGGAAGGATAAGCTTCCCATCTTCAGGTTGGCAGTAACCTCAGGTGAGACATGACAGATAAAGGATGCTTTATTTCTAAAACAAACAACAAAGATCTGAAGCCAGTATGGCAAAACATTAACATCTATAAAGTTGGGTTGGTGGGAATATATGTACCCATTTTGCACATTTCTATGTATTTTGAAATATTTTATAATTTAAAAAATTTTAATTGTGTGGGCAGTTTAGGACATGGATGCAGAAAATACGGGTTACTGTTTCATGAGTATTGATAGCAACAATATAAAGGTAGCTTAAAAACAAATTTTAAACAGGGAACATACTAGCCTCATGGTAGATTAGAATATGTGTGTATGTATATATATGTACATATGTGCATACACACACACACACTCATTTCAATTTGGAAACAGGAGAAAACAAGGAAAGAGAATCAAGGTAATGACTGTGTAATTGCCTTCTAGACTTTAAGTCACATGGCACAACAGGACTATCTAACCATCAATGCCTGCAAGTAAGAGCTTAGTTTTTCTCTCTTAATATTTTTACTGTATTCCTTTTTCTATGTTTATCCTGTTGGCTAGAATGCCTGTGAAACTTGATGAACAACAATGATGGACATGTGCTGTTTCTGACTCTACTAAAACAAACAGAGAGGCAATAACACAGCAATGCAGAGCATGCACGATGGAGTCAAACTATCTGGGTTCCATCTCTGGTGCTAGCACTTACTAGGAATAAACTTAGCCAACTGATTTAATATATGAATCTCCCTGTGCTCATCTGTAAAATGGTGAGCAATAAAGAAAAGTTTACTCTTGCCTTCTCTACATTACTGGTCTTACCTGAATAGTTTCTTCTAGGCGGTAGCACTCAAGGATTTGCAGTGTCTCTATAACCTGGTTTGGGCTGAACTGACACAACAGCTCAATGAACTGCTCTGTAATACAAGGAGATATCTGCAGCAATTCTTGATTTACATGAATACCTTCCCTGAAAACAGAAAAGGCAAGACAGTAGCATTATTTAATCATACCATAATTAAAGCTACAGGTGAAAAGTATGTTACCTTAAAACCAAGACTACCTTTTGATCAAGTAAAATCATGAATTAAAAGTCTTAATGTTACTTAGGTTATTAAGGTGAATCATACACTACATCAGAAACATTCTAAATCACAATATTTCTCAATTTACATTGAATAATTAAGGAAATGATATTCAGTGGAGGCTCCTCTAAATCATACCTGAAGTTGTACTGTTGCTCTAAAAGAAACAACGATGACTCAATTTAGTTTAAACAATTTGATCCATGAGTAACTATACATAATAAGCCATCTTCTAGTCTCAACAACTGTCCCTACTAAACTTCCCTTATAGCACCAATCACATCATGTTGTAATTACTTCTTCAATTATCTATCTTCTCTAAAGGACTATAAATTCTGTGAGGGTAGGCACCAGTACCTTCTCACTAATGAATTCTTAAAGCCTACAACAGTGTCTTCCATGTAGCAAGGGCTAATTATTTGGTTGTTGTTAAAACAAAAGTGGATGAATAGTAGGTTATACAAAATTTATGGTTCATTTGCCTTGTATGCCAGCCACTCACAAAGCCCACTATTCATAATGCCTACACAAAAGCTGTGGGAGTATTCGTTTTACCATGGTGGACACTACTGGAACTATTTAGAAAAATCAACTGCAGTTCATTGGAGATATAAGAATCATCTTCTCTCTACCTTCAAAAGAAGTCAGTTTCTTCTGGGAGTCCTATCTTCTCTTCAGAATTTCTCAACTAAAGCTCCTTATATAAAGAACTGGAACAGCATTAGTAACATACAAAAAATTGCTACAAAAACTCCCTACAAACAAAAGTCCAGGACCAGATGGCTTCACTGGGAAATTCTACCAAATGTACAAAGAAGAACATATACCGATCCTTCTCAAACTCTTCCAAAAGACTAAAGAGGAAGGAATACTCCCAAAGACATTCTATGATGCCACCATCACCCTGATACCAAAACCAGACAAAGACACTACCAAAAAAGAAAATTAAAGGCCAGTATCTGTGGTGAATATAGATGCAAAAACTCAACAAACATTAGCAAACCGAATCCAACAACACATAAAAAAGGTCATACACCATGACCAAGTTGGATTCATCCCAGGGTCCCAAGGATGGTTCAACACATGCAAATCATCAATGTGATACACCACATCAACAAAAACCACATGATCATCTTGATACAGAAAAAGCATTTGACAAAATTCAACAGCCATTCATGATAAAAACCCTTACGAAATGGGTATAGAGGGAACATATCTCAACATAATAAAAGCTATTTATGACAAACCCACAGCCAATATAATATTCAACAGTGAAAAGCTGAAAGCCTTCCCATTAAAATCTGGAGCAAGGATGCCCACTCTCACCACTTCTCTTCAACATAGTATTGGAAGTCCTAGGCACAGCAATCACACAAGAAAAAGAAATAAAAGGTATTCAAATTGGTACGGAAGAGGTAAAACTGTCACTGTATGCAGATGACATAGTTTTCTACTATATATAGAAAACCCTAAAGACTCCACACAACAACTACTAGAACTGATAAATGAATTCAGCAACGTAGCAGGATACAAGATTAACACACAGAAATCGGTTGCATGTGTTTACACTAACAATGGAACAGCATAAAGGGAATGTAAAAATTAATACCTTTTAAAATTGCATCATAAATAAATAAAATATTCAGGAATAAACCCCATCAAGGAGGTGAAAGATTTACATGCTGAGAACTACAAAACATTAATAAAGGAAATTAAAGATGATTCAAAGAAATGGAAAGATATTCCATGCTCTTGGATTGGAAGAATCAGTACTGTTAAAATGGCAATACTACCCAAAGCAATCTACAGATTTAATGTGATCCCTATCAAATTACCCATGACATTTTTCACAAAACTAGAACAAATAAATCTAAAATTTATATGGAACCATAAAAGATTCAGAATTGCCAAGGCAATCCTGAGGAAGCATAACCCTCCCAGACTTCAGATAATACTAAAAAGCTTCAGTAATCAAAACAGTGTGGCATTGGCACAAAAACAGACATACAGATCAATGGAACAGAACAGAGACCCCCAGAAATAAACCCACACACCTCTGGTCAATTAATGTTCAACAAAGGAGGCCAAAAAATAAAATGTGAAAAAGACAGTCTCTTCAGCAAGTGGTGCTGGGAAAGTTGAACAACTGCATGTAAATCAAAGAAGTCAAAACATACCCTCATGCCACGCACAAAAAGAAGCTCGAAATAGCTTAAAGACTTAAATACAAGACGAGACACCATAAAACTCCTAGAAGAGACCATAGACAAAACATTCCCTGACATAAATTGTACCAATGTTTTCTTAGGTCAGTCTCCCAAGGCAATAGAAATAAAAGCAAAAATAAACAAATGGGACCTAATCAAACTTACAAGCTTTTGCATAGCAAAGGAAACCATAAACAAAAGGAAAAGAGAACCTACAGAATGGGAGAAAATATTTGTGAAGGATGGGACCGACAAGGGCTTAATTCCCAAAATATACAAACAGCTCATACAACTCAACAACAAAAGAACAAACGACCTAATCGAAAAATGGAAAGTCAACCACTAGAAAAAGTTTTTTAAAAGAAGTATAATTAATATACTAAGAGACAAAAAATGGAATCATATACAAAACACTCAGTTAAAGTCAGAGGAGGCATAAAAATAGTAGGAAACAAACAAAAAGAAACAAAAAACAAGGGTGATGAATAAAAAATAGTATAAACAGAACAGAAGAAAGGGTAGGATTTTGTAAAAGCCACAAAGTACCTTAATATGTGTCCTTTTCATTGTAAATAGAAAAAATATGAGTATTTGGAAAGATTTCTTTAAATATCAATGAAGCAAAGTTTTTGAAACTTTAGTTTGTAGCACTCACATGCCAGTTTTCATTGTTTCAGAAATTCTAAAAGCAAAGAGCAGACCATTCCAAACTCCTAACAACTGCTCTCATTTTTATTATTAACGTATCAATCTAAATTTCTATTATTAACTAAGCAACTAGTGGGGGCAAAGAATATGGTGAGCATTAAGATACCTACATCTAACCACATCATCTGATTATCATTCAATCACACACACAAACAGTATGTGTGCATACCATTTAATGTTATGTATTTTTCCAGTTTAGCATTATTTAAACATTCACATTGTCATGTTTGCCAATTTGGTATTCAATTATGTTCATATACCTTACCATTTATATAGCTATCTCCCCCATCTACTTTTTTAAACAGTTTTTTCACTATATAAATGTTAATACGGATATTTCAATATTAACTACCTTTTTCTTATGGTATTTCCTTAAAATATATTTTCCAAAATGGAATCACTGGATCAAAGCACATGTACACCCTTAGAGCTCTTAATACATATAGATAAAACTATGAAAAGAAAGAAAACAAAGTGGACTAAAAGGGAGGAACACATATTCAAAGGGTGGGCAGAACAACCCTGTGTAGTGTATCCCATGAACAAAAAGTTCAGTACTACTGAGGAATAAAGGGGAAAAGAGAAATGGCAGGATGGAAGAAAATTAAGCTGAACCGATATGCCTGAATAAGATCAAGAAGGGTCTTTTACACCATAAGGAGTTCAGATTTTACCTTGGATAATGGAAGCTAAAAGAACTTTGAGAAGCGGAAAGGGAACACTATCATTATTTGCCTATTTGAAAATGGAAGTAGAAGAATTAAGAAGGCTGGTTAGGAGACCAGCAAAAAAGACCAGAAGAGAGATACTGAGGGCCTGAACCAGGGTGGAGGGGGTGGACAAGAGAAGGACTCACATGTAAGAGATATACAAGAGGTACATTTTGATGACTGACTGGTTCTGTGTCGTGTGGCTGAGAAGGTGCAGTGGAGTTGGTAAAGGAAAGTTAAAAATTCATCATCACGCCAAGGATTTTATTTAAGACACTTACACTGCAATTGCCTCTGAAGGCAGGGTCCCACCTTATTCACCATTTTATCTCCCATGCCTGTCACAGTGCTTAGTATGCTGTAGTTACTCAGTAAATTTTTAAATAAAATAAATGGGTGGATACAGCCATTTGCTAAGAGAGAAAATAAAGAAGGAGGAACAGGTTTAGACTGAAAAAAGTGAGTATAATTTTGAACTATTTCAACCTCTCACACATTGCTTAGCAGATAGCAATCTCATTATAAAGAATTATTAAATTAAGGAATAAAGATATAAATGCATGTAAACTATCTATCCATCCATCCATCCATCCATTTACCTAAAAGAAGATTAGTAGATGATGATGTGTTAGGATTTAGAAGGTTGAATTTGAGCTGCTGGCAAAAATACTAACAAAGATAACGATATCTGGTGGTGAGTCTGTCCAAGCAGACAGGCACTCACTGAGGTAGGAATGCATTTTTATATGTCAAAGTTCATGAATATATATAATGTTCTATTTTTTAACTTTGAAATATGCTATTTCAACACTGTGTCAATATCTTAAAATATCCCTTCAGAATTATCCACAGAAACAGTGACAGATTCAATTTAAATCCAATGTATAACCATTTCCATAATCTATGTTTTGCTCCTTGGCAAAGATACTCATTTCCTTAGCAATGTTCAATTTTTACTTTATTTTGATTAAAGACTTAGAAATACAGTACAACATTTTATGTGTTTTTTTCCTACAGGAAAATCATACCATATATTTCAGAGGCCTCCAGGACATTGTTAACAAAGGCTAAATGGACATTACCAAGAAAACTGAGGAAAATATTGTGACTATAAATACACTTGCACATTCTCTTTATTCCTTATGAAGCTCATAGCCCCACAAAAACCGTCAGTGTCTTTTAGTATTATCCTTCAAGCATCCCCACTGCACAAAGGACCTGCATCTGGATGTACGTATATCAGGAGAACTCCTGTGAGAA